CTAACGATGGCTCTGTGAAAGGTCCAATTTTCCATCCATCTCGTAATCTTTTCCCTCCTGGTCAACTGTTTGATATGCACCTGTACCTCGATGACTCGGTTAGTAGTTGATTTAGCGATTTTTATCCTTTTAATAATAGCCGTGGCTCAACCCTTGCATGATCTCTTCACTGTTTTGCCGTATTTATATTGCAAATATGCACTAGATTTTTTGCAGTTTGGGGAAGGTTTAGTATACTCATCAATTTTGACACTTTCCTTTGAAAATCATATTTTTATGTACGAAATTAAGGTTGTATTGTTGATTTTCCTGCTGTACTTTCATACTCGAATGCAAAATCCTTGATTATGGTGCTGTGTTTGGGGTAGAGCGGAAAGCAACAAAATCCGAAAACGCTCGTAGAATACTGCATCTTGCCCAACTACTGCGGCGCTTTTTGCCTAAGTATGGTCAGGGGATGATCCCTCGCTTACCTGAAAAGCCTAGAGAGAAAGCTGGTGTCGAAAATATGCGCGAGTAAGGGTTTGCCGTTTTCCGCTCATTCCCTTATTTACTGGTGGGGTGCGGAACACAGTGTAGTTAATTCATCTCTTTTCCTCACTTGCTTCTGTCAGTCACTTTCTTAAGTTAAGGAACAACGTTTCTCGAACTTCGAAAACCGGACCCCTTTTTGGCAAGAGCTCAACATCCAATATGGCGATTACTCGGTTGGTCCAGAAAAGGTATGTTCATTCCATCTTTTGGATTAAATGTGTGTATACTGTAATCATACTCGTAATTGTTACTCTTTGAACTTTGAAGCATATTGAGCCATTGGGCCAAAGTATGGTTTTAGTACTCTTACAATAACAGGCGGCCTGAGAAACAAACTTTAATAGCGCCTGCAAATTCCTTTTAATCCGAATGAAATTTGCTCTTCAATGTTAAGTCGAAATTGGGTGAAAAGCCCTATTTTTTTAGTACTCTGATCTTTCAAACAATCTGCTCTATTTATTTGATCTCATCTAGCATTTTTCATTTCTCGGCTGCAAAGTAACTGAGTTTATTATTTTCCTGAGCACGCGTTACAAGAATTATGGCGGAACTCTTTCACTTTGAGCAACAGTCTCATTGCAGGACGGAACTCTTGTCTTTGAAAAAACATTGCCAACTCCTGAACCCCTAATGCGGAATCAATCTCTGTACCTACACGTTTTCATAACAAAAGCTGGCCACTCACCAAACCCTCGTGAAAGAAGTCATATAAAGCGTGAGGTATGCTTTTTATCTGTTTGGTATGCGCATCTTAGAACTGCATGTTTACATTGATGTCATAATATC